TTTGCACTGGACATAGCTGTGGATTAAAACTTAATGTCAGATAATAAAAACTGATAGCCATACAATACTTTATAGATTTCTTCACATCAACAAACAGCAGGTATGTCTTATTGGTCGATTTCGGCAGTATAATTTTTTTAAGTTCTCAGTAAAATCATCCATACAAAGCTCTTAGCACAAGTAACTAATCGGAAATAATAATGAATATATAGGGAAGGTCCTGGGTTTGAACCGTGGCGGTGGGTAAGTACTGCCGATGATTCCCAAACTAGGAGGATGAAACAGCTGTCCAGTACTCCAGTGTTGGTTTTCAATGGTTCTCTAACTGATATCAATCCGTGGTCAAACTCGTATAAACAAATCTAATCCTTACAAACCAAACTCTTGAAAATTAATCTGATGCTCGCTAGTGACTTGCTACAGGACGGAGTTTCCTGGAGTTCTAGTGAGAAGTCGTGACCAGTGAGGTCCAACCAGTCAAGTATGAAGATGGATTTCCCGCTGATTGCATTAGTTCGTGGTCGCTCTAAATCACGAATTGGTAGAAGTTAGAATTCATGGGTTGGCCATTGAATCGGTCCCCAGTGGCTCAATGTTATACGAGCTTGTCTTGTAACCGGAAGGTTCTGGGTTCGAACCGTTGCGACAGGTGCGTACTGCCGATGACTCCCAGACTTGTATGAAACAGCTGTCTGGCAGTTCTCCTGGTTTTCAGTGTTTCTCTAACTGATATCAATCCGTGGTCAAACTCGTAGAAACAAATAATAAAGAATTAAGGGTGAAGGATTAGAAATGGTTTGAGATAAAAGATTATATTGAGGATTACTAATAACAGATACTAAATCGAATCCTGTCTGAACTTATTGGTGGTGGAAAGAGACGATCTAGTGTTTCTGTTGAGACACAGAGCATAAAATCTAGGTTTACACCTCTTTAAAAGCCTATCTATAAAACATATTTTGGGCTTATCCCAAGGTTTTTAGAAGCCCTAGTGATGAAGATATTTAGTTAGCCTCCATATCTTCATAAACAATTCGTCATTACATTAAACCGTCTTTGATAAAGTTTTTCTGGATACCAGGATACATGTACTATTATCCTCCATCTATGGTTTATTGATCTCGATTGCTAGTTTGACCTTTGAACTTCACCTGTGTCTAATCCCTCACCCCTTAATCGAATGAGTGATAATATCAATAATGGAGCGAGACAGTGGGGTAGGTGGCTTGTGTGTGTCAGTGTATAGATGAATTAAGAGAGATTAATTAAGAAAATTAAAAAAAAGTAAAGCCAGAACTTGAATATCAACTTGATGCACACTAGCGATTGGCCCTATTCAGGTAGGTCGTTACCTCGGTTCTAGTGAGAAGCTGTGACGAGGAGGGTATAGCAGATCCGGTGTGAGGACAGATACTCGCCGATGATACTGGGCAATGGTTGCGTCATAAGTAATATAACACTGCATAAATGTGTGCTTTTATAAAATAAATTTACTCCATGTTGGAATAATTTCATTGAGCACTGAAGGTTTGGAAGCGATTACATTGATTTTCCTGGGTAAGGTCACTAGCCCTACGTCCAACCTTTCCCCTTTTCGCAGGTTTAGGACTAACTCGAAAACTAGTGAACTAGTAAGCACCAAAAGACTCCTATACCATCCATTATCTGCAACGCGTCCAGAAATACCAACAACAACGGCTGAGCTACCAGTAGAAATCAATTCACCAACAACAACACAAGTCTTGAATGGAATAAAGTTACTGAAGGCCGGTCGGTAAGACACCAGGGTGGGACGGAATTACCTCTGAAGATCTGGAAACGGATACAAAGACTACGGTCGGTGTGTACTCACACCACTGTTGCCAAAGGCTTAGGAGGAAAGAAAGGCTACCTTGTCAAATTACCAAAGAAGGAAGACAAAGGCCTCTACAAGAACTGGCGTGGAATAATGCTCTTGTCCACGCCAAGTAAAATACCACGTCGCGTCATTCTGGAGAGAATAAAAGATAAACTGGATGCAGAACTCCTCCAGCCCGGAACAAGCTGGATTGAGGGAAGGCAAATCTTGTGCTGATCAAATTGCAGCTCTATGCATCATCATCCAACAGAGTGTAGAAGGGAAGTCAAATGTTTGCCTCACTTTCGTTGACTTTAAACAGGCCTTTGACAGACAGCGTTGATTGAAGAGTAATTTGGAAACTACTTCAACAACTATATGATAATGGCACATATCAAGTGATCCACAAAGGAAGACTAAGAGAAACCTTTGAAGTGAATACAGGCGTAAGAATAGTCTGCCTGTTATAACCGATGATATTCCTCATTGTAGGGGATTGGATTACTCGTCAGACCGCCGGGAATAAGAAGACAGGGATAAGTTAGACCGATAGGAAGACTCTAGAATATTTGGATTTCGCAAATGACTTATATTTAGTGTCACACTAACGTTAAGACTTCCTCGCGAAAATCAAACTGGTAGGAAAAGCAGCAAAGACAGGATTTTAAGAGAAAATAAAGAAGACAGGGTTATGAAAATAACCATCCACGACCACCAACAAAATCCAAAACAGATCATCATCAATTGGGGAAATTTGAAACAAGTTACTTCCTTCACTTATCTAGGAAACACGGTTTCAACCAGGGGGAAACGTAAGTGTAGGTCAAAGCCAGAATCAGAAAGGGAAGGCAGACCTTTGCGATTCTGAAATCCGTTTGAAAATCCTCTGCACTTAGATTCAGATTTTCAACACAAATGTGAAGTCACTTCTTTTATATGGGTCAGAAACTACGACAGCGCAGCACGAAAAGCATTTCCAACGGGTTACAGGCTTTTATCCACAGGTGGTTTCGCTGATTCCATAATGAAGATCAAGTGGCCGGCTAGCCAGAAATAATAAGCAACGAAGAATTCAGGGATAGAACCATCCGAGAACCTATTAGTGAACAAATATTCAAAAGAAAATGGAGATGGACTAGACATACGCTGAGGAGATCCGTTGAATGAAATTATACTCCAGATTGTCTAGTGGAGCCCTAACAAGGAACGGAGAGTTTGATATGGATCTGATGGTGACATGGAGGAGAACGTGTGAGAAGGGGATGAAAGCTTATGGGCAGTTGTGGGGCTATCCAAAGAGCAGTGCAGAGAACAGGAAGAAATGGTGTCAAATTTAGACCTATTGCTATTACCTCTCCTTTTTTGAAAACTATGGAGAAATTACTTTTACTTAGTTTTGTACCTTCGCTTAAATCCTTTAATGAACCTTAACAATTTGCCCATAAGCACAGTTGAAGCACTTTAGATACAGCTGATGTCTCATATCATAAAATTGCTTCCAGTCTATACAAGAGGGCTAAATTTGTTCGTTGTGCCCTCCTAGACTATACATCTGCTTTTAACTCGGTTCCCTTAGACATCTTGCTGTAAGTCAAACAGAATGTTGGGCTGTTAACTGGTTATATTCCTATTTCTCAGAAAGAAAGCAGTACACTGTGTGTAAAGGGAAGTCTTCCACTTCACTGCCTACTGAAGCTGGTGTCCCTTTTCTTTTTTCTTTCTTCTTACATGACTTGCCTCAGTCTGATGAAATAAACTTTGTGAAGTACGCTGATGATTTAACAGTTTCAATGGCGGTTAACTCCCAGCTAGATTGTACCAAAATAAATAGCTTTCTGTCGGGAGTCATTAAATGGTCTGAGTCTGACGGTCTTAAAGTGAATGCTTCTAAATGCCAAACTGTTAATTTCAGTTTAAGATATAAAAGACAGTTAAAAGAAGCCGTCGATTTCCATGACAGTTGTAAGATTGATGACAATGATATAGGAATTAAATCAGGAATTAAGTATCTTGGACTCATTCTCTCTTCTGATCTCTCCTGGTCTTTCCATGTCTTGGCTATCTCCAGTAAAATATTCTGCCTGACATTTAACATTAAGAAGTTAAGGCACTCGGATATAACTCAACCCCTCCTCCTCTTACAGTTCATAAACTCTTGCATCCTACCTATTCTTCTTTATTTTTCACCCTTATTCTTTCCTGGTTTGCTTAAAAAGGACTTTGTCACAATTCGTAGAATGCTGAATACTGTCAGTAGGGTGAGTGGTGTCCCAGTGAACCACATAGCTAACGTCTTTGTCGATAGGCACTTGACTTCGTGCAGTAAATTTGTTAAAGGGATTCTGTCTGACTTGGAGCATCCACTTCACCCTCAGCTTTCACCTTGCATCTCCACAGGTAGAACAAGAAGTTACACAACAAAAAACTGTATGCTCGCACGTCTATGATACCATACTTGGCACGTATTTTATGTGATGAAAATAGCGTCAGGCAAGAATTGACTAACCTTTTTTCATCTAGTAAATGAACAGTCTCCTCCATCCATCTTTATATACCTTCAAATTTTACTTTTATTATTTCTATTATATTTATGATCCTGTTGTTTCTCTGTTTTACTTTCATAATTGGAAACACCAACTTATCTCTATGACTGCTGTAATCTTTGTTTTTCCCCTCACCATATCATGTAAAGAGAACATTATATTCAATATTTTTAAACATGCTAGGATTTCAATACCGCATCGACAATACTGGTGAAACAAGCCCACGGCAATTTTCACTTGTATTATTATTATTACCTTACCTGTTATCACTATTATTATTTCAATTTTATGTGCTTCATGTTTTTGACATTACCCCGATTGTAAATGTGGAAAATTTTCTGTGTTATTAATTTTATTTATAATTTGAGGAAATTAGATGCAATATTGTGATTAATGCTGAAAATTCCATTCTGTATCACAAGTACTGTTTTTGGAATAAAGTATATTATTATTATTATATAGTTCTAAAGCCCTTTATTCCACTTGAAATCCAGGGGACTATTTTTTGACGATCATTCATACTACTGAAATATATTGCCAAGTAGCACAAAATGTATCATGAAAAAAAACACAGACACTTCTCATTTCAGGTTTTTATTTTTTTTTTAGTTCAAACATTATTATGATTATAGTTTTGTCGTTTAAAAATACAATAATTATACAGGCAGAAGAAATAAAGAAAGAATGACTCATTAATTTTAAGTAAATTCATCAGTTTCCTAGACTATTTATATGTGTATTTTTTATGTAATATGTATCATTTGAGCATATTTGTTTTGGCGCACAGCGTCTGTCATTCTACTCCTTTTGCTGCCATTGTTGCTTGCTTGTCAGTTGTTACATTTGTTTCCATTACTGATTCTATTTGTTTTCTCCTCTGTTTCTCTCAGATATATGTGATTGTTTACAAATTGAAATATGAATAATGATTACAACATTTGTGGAAAGAAAATTATTATATATATGTTTATGTGTAATAAACATTTATTTCAGCTCTCCGTAAACAATTTTACAGGGGAGGAAAAAACAAACAAAAAGAAAAGGGGTTTTCTTTGTATTACTATGCATTTGTTTGTTTGGTTTTTACATTTAAAAGTTGTGAATAATACTAATAATAGTAATAGTAATAACGATGTTTAGTATACATGCGATCATCGATGGGAGTCACAGTAGTACTGTTTAGAAAGGTAACTTATGTATGTGTATATGTATATAAATGTTTTATTTTGAAACATCCATCACCTTGGGTAACTCAATGAATAGGTGAGTGAGTGACTGATATTATTGCCAGTCAAGGAGAAAACCAAAAAGGATCAAACCAACCCAAAGTACTTCTAATAAGTAAAAAAACAAGGGAGGAAGAATGGAAGGAAGAAACGAAGAAAGCAATAGTTCAATAGTTCTCCTCTATCATGAATTTCCTTTTCTTTTTCTGTCTCATAGATTTGAGTCAACTTTTTTCAACATCTTCAGAGGATGTAGCATAATTTTCAGGCGTACTTATGTTTTTTTGTTCATTACCCACCAAATCAATTATTTGTCTTCTTGACTTACTATTCATACTCCCACTACTATTACTACCATTACCACCACTCAAAACAGTAGATCGAGTTGATGTATTCATTATGCTTTTCATCATTCTATTTTCATGACTTGATGATGTAAATTTATCATGTAATCCTGATATTGATGATGATGACATCATTGTATCCACTGGAGGAGTTGATGCTACTATGCCTTCTGTTGTCTTTAATGCCGGTAGCACTGATGTCGAACAATCGGATACACCTGTCACTGGTGTCGATGACGCCAGATCAATAATTACATTCTCTGAATATCTTGTATGTAGTAATTTTAAACGATCATTAATATTCACTCTACTATTATTATTAGGATTAACACTGGAATCACTTTGTTTTGAATACTTACGTAATATATTACTCGAGTGAGTAGTGTTCACAATATCTGATGTTTTTCTACTAGAATATTTCGTCTGATTTGTAGATTGAATGATATTTGATCGATTTTCACTTGGTGTTGAAGATATATTCTGATAACTGTTATTATTATTATTACTATTACTAGTGTTACTAATTAACTGTTGGTTATCTAATACTACTGATCTATTATTCAGTAGTGCAGATAATTCTTCTTTCAGTTCATTTTTCATTTCATTTTTAAATTGATTCCAATCATCAATATATAAACCTTTTGTAGCTATTCTATTATTACGTTCATTTAATTTTAATACATCAATTGGTATATCATTGATGGATGCCAATTGCATAAGATCTTTATAAATATCTTTTGATTCTTTATCATAATTTAATGAATATTTCTTTCGACCGCCTTCTTTAATCTTTGAATCACTTGATGTCGACTGAAGGTGGTGATGGTGGGGTTGTTGTTGTAGTTGTTTTTGACCTGTGTTAATATTTGTTGTACTATAGTGTATATTTGCCTGTTCACTTGAGTCTATTACCGAGGTTGGTATTGATGGCTTTGTTTTGTAAAGTTTCCTTCGATAATCGGTTAACTCGTCTCTAGGATATGATGATGATGAGGGTGATGATGTTATCATTGATGTTTGTATTGTTGATGTTGTTGGCATTGTTGTTGGTGATGTTTGTGGGTGTATTGTAGCATTTTGTAAAATTGTACTCTGTTTACCCAACTCATCAACAAGTTCTTGTTTTAAAGTTTCCAATTGGCATACAGCACGGACAATTTCACGTTTTCTATCTTCGCGTAATTCAAATCTAATAAAGTCAATATCAGATATTTTTTAGAACAAAATCATCAAATAATTTAAATCTAATAAATATAATTTATAAATATTATAGTTAACAAAATAAAATCAGGTGGTGATTTACAGAAGTTTGATTGATTTCACGTTCGATCATGAACTGACTTCCCTTAGAGAACCATCAAAAACCACGGTGTACTCGAAAAGTATTTCATACTAGTTTGGGACTCTTCAGCAGCATAACTACACCTGTTGACCATCCAGTCACCTGCATAATATCAAATGGCCTATGAATTTTAACTTCTGCCAGTTTGCAGTATATGGCACTACCACCGGCAAGAGTTCTGGATTCTGTCTGTATTGGGGGGCGGGGTGGGCGTATGCTCATGAAGAGCCCTGAACAACAAAGAAACAGTCGTGCAGTGTTTGAGTAATGGTTTTCAATATTTCTCTAATTGAAGTTAGTTCATGAATGGACTTGAAAATAAAATCAGTTATGATTGTAGTGAAATTCTGGCCAATATACTTTTGAAGTAATCTGAAGTAAACTCTACAAGTGTGACGACAGAAGACAAGGGCCAGGCAACAGATCGTTTACTGAGAAAATCAAAAGGTATTTATAGATTTTTATATGCATTATTATTAGCGTTATTGTTAGCGGAGAAGCAACCTCTTCTGATTGGTTGTTTTCTTTCTGAAGGTCATTCTTTACTACTTGTGACTGCTTCTCAGAAAGTTAAGCCATATATCTGCGAATCGTATTTGCACACGTTAAGTCTGCTGTGATTGGTTGGTGATTCTCAAGGTTAAGCTTTGTTATTCTTTTTTCTCATGACCCCGATTCGGGACGTAACATTGACGTAAATTGTTGTCTACAATTTTGGCTTGTTCGCAGCCAGCTCTCATCACAACCTGAAGGCCTTGAATTCGATACCAGGTGGGGGTGATGGGTGCGTAAGTGTTCCAAATTGTAACGAAATAGGACTGTTCAGTACTCTCTAGTTTCTGGTGGTTCCCTAATGAATGTCACTTTGTGACGTAACTTGAAACCTATCAAACTCCTTACAAACCAATATCTGCCTGGGTTGGGTAAATTCATTTTTCTTATTTCTGAGAGGCGTTCTACTAATTTCATATTTAGGTCATAACAGTAAAATGAATTTATTATGCAAACATTTGTAAACATTTATGGTCAATGCTCGTATTTATAGGTTGTATCATAATGAACGAGGATTTTACTAGGCTGAGGAATTCAGTTAGCGAGTTAGATTTGTCTACTTATAAATACATCAGTAGTACGCGTGGTAAAACTATTGTTACAATCACTTAGATATCTAGTTGTATACACCACTTGTAGAGTTCAAAAATATTTAAGTATCACAATTAAACATTTACAAGGTAATCTGAGCTGTTTACCTTAAACTGGATATATCCTGTTTTATTTCTAAGAGATCATCTTCATTCACACCATCTTGTCGCATTGTTTTCTTTGATTGGTGTATATATCTTCTGACAAGTCGTCGCATAACTGTCTGTAAATATGAGACAAAAAAACAAACGAACACCAACAAGATTAAACAGCAAGCAGGTGATTTAGTTGCCATTAAACTTTCAATGAAAATAAGCTACAAGAATTCCAGTAGCATAATTGAAAGTAAAAGAGGCAATTTTCTGTCTACAAGTCAAAATATCAATCTGGTTATGCTTGTGCTGTGTGCCACTGACAATAATTTATAAGTGGTTTATTAAATGTGATGTCTTCTGAAACAGTCTTGAACTAGAGGGAGACGAGTTAAGTTGGGAATAAGAGAAATGAAGATATTTACAACACATTATGGGAGAACGAAGGGAAGACAAAAGAAGCAGAATGCAAAGATAAGAACAGCAAAGTATGATGAAGAAGATTTGTAGCTCAGGTGGATGATTTTGATATGGTTGTGTTCTATGAGCTCACTGGATGGTTAATTTGCGAAACTTTTATCGCCCTACTAGGCGAAATCTTCAGCGCATACTTCAATTTGAATTGAAGTGAGCTTTTAGATTTCTCCACGAGTTTATTAGTCATCTCTCGTGGTGACCTTGAGCGTGGTTGATTGCTTGTACTGGAACTGATTGTTTCTTTGACTTGAAGTTTGACCCCTTGTGTGTGGGGTTTCCTTCTTATCGGTTGATAAATTTTGTCTATCTCGATGCGTCTATTAATTGATGATTCACTTGAATACCAGGCTTCTAAAGATTCTCTAGCATTCTTTTTTTTCCTCTGTCTAATATTTGAACATTGTCCCAATCGAATTGATGTCTGTATGTAGTGATATGAGGGAGTGGATGTCATATCTTTTGACGGCTAGCTTATGTTCGTGGATACGAAGACGAAGGAATTATCTTCTTTCGTTGTTGAGTCTTTTGGTTGACATAGAACTGAGTGAAGTGATTTTGTTGGTTAGTGTGCGACGTCAATTCCTAAAGGTTTGAAGATTCTTGCAGTGATTTCTGAGGTATCCTTTATATGTGGGGGCGCGATTTTATTTTTGCTTTCCTTTGGGGCTTTTGGTGTGATAGGTTGGCTTGAGGGTATATGTCTTTTGATGAAATTCTGTGGATATCCATTCGTTTGGAAGACGTTCATGAGATATCTTTCTTCAATTTTCCTTAAGGTGGGAGTGCTGCAATGAGTTTTGGCCCTTTTGAATAGTGTTTGCATGCAATCCCTCTTGCGTGTTATTGAACTGTTGCTGTTGTAATTCAGTATTCGGTTTGTGTGAGTTGATTTTCTATAAACTTGAGTTTCTAACTCCACTGTGGTTTTTCGCTTGACTAAGACGTCGAAAAACGGGATTTTGTTCTCGGATTCCTCTTCTTTTTTGAATTTGATGTCGTTGAAGACGTTGTTTATTAGGTTATGAGTTTTATCTAACTCGTTTCTTTTGTTTATTACAAATGTGTTGTTTACGTAACGTATCCAAATTTTGTGCTTGATCCTTGGTAAGATTATGTTTTCGAGCCTTTGCATCACTACTTCTGCAGGAGTGAAGATTGGTTAGTACTGACAAGCGTTGCGTAATATGAAATAGGATGTTAATGGAGACATGCGTCTAAGACAAATTGTGTAATAGGGAGAAAGAGTAAATAAAGGGTTGGGTAAGAAGAAGGTGTTACTAAGATGTCATACAAAAATTCAAAAAAAAAACAAAACAAAAACACATTACTAACAAAGTAGTAGAACTTGAAATTATACCGAAGGTAGAAGGAGTGGGTAGAGAAGCTTCTTCTGTGCGCCTAAATCAGGGTTTTCGATCCGGATTGCTAAGGCCTCGGTAGTGCAAAGTATGCGGAAGCTTATGGTTTTCGGGAGGCTACCTTTGACTTTGTAGATAACTTTGAATGAATTCTCCTTGCAGACTGAGTGACCAGTGTTGATTATATTTTCAATTAAAGCACTCTTTATTGATCCACTGTTACCTTTTCGTAGCCAAGTGGGATAATGTTCTTTGACTCTTTGAGATAAAACAATCATCGAAAGACCTATAAATCTTGCTCCAAATTAAGGAGCTAATTGGTAGATACACATAGAAGTGGTCAAATACCTTTTATTTTCTGGTGTGAATATTTTCCAGCAAAGTTTTGCGTTGATGAGATAGTACATTATTATTTAAAACGTATATTTCAATCGCGTCAGTTGATGAAATTTCCTACCTTATTCTATGCTCACTTTCTGTTACCCTAGCATTTTAAAAATGTAAGTATTTCTCAAGAGATCTATGCTGAGATTGGATTGGCGATTAACTCATATTTAATATCAACGTAGCTGCCACCTATCAATGAAGTAATCAGCAGGCCTAGTCTATCGGATCGTGACTTGTCCCGAAGGGGTATTGGAAGTTATAAATTTCTTTCATTATCCGTCAAAGTTTTACTCTTGTGATTTATTGTATAGAAGGTAAGATGATTTGTATACAGCGAACCTACTATGTAGCATGTATGTAACGGCAGGAGACAACATTCTTTGGCAACAGAATTATTCCTTGGTGATCGAGTGCATGGCTATAGGCGAAATACATTTACCGCCGTATATTAAAATCACAATCTGTACATATTTTGCGTATAGCTGATATCTGATTGGCGGCCTTCCTAAGACTTTGGCTACCGAAAATTATTTAGTTTGTTTAAATCTAGCAAAATATGACCTCTATTAGCATTGTTTGCTCTGGCAAGTATTCAAAACATTTACAGCCTGCTGATTATCAACTTTCTAGTAAACATGTGAAAAAGCATTATCCTGGATGTCAGCTTATCTCAGTATATGAGGTGAACATTCCTAAGTGGTGTCGTCGGTTCACATAATGTACTGCTGAACTTTTTATAATTCACATTCATCGAAAATATCATCGTGCATTTCTTTAAGGTGAAAAAGATGAGATATCATAATGGATTAGTTTGCGCTTCAGGTCAGGTAGAACTATGTCAAACTACCTACTATCAATTAAGTTTTTATGTGAAGTTTCTGAAAGAAGAGAAATATCATGAAATAAACTCCGCTGAATATTCAGAACAAAGCTACTGTTATTATTATTATTACGTCATCGTGAAGGCATTTGGAAAACTGTAAAACTTCAGAGTGGTAACAAATCTGAGTGGATTATGTAGTAGGATAAGAGATCTGAAAAAATGCTCCATGAACAATCTGTTTACAGTACTGATCCGTAATTGAATATTTTTCTACTAATTTTGTAATTATTACCCTTTTCTCTTGACCTGTACATCATTGTTCTAACATTTTACAATATTCTTTTGATCTGATCCTTATTATTTATCTTTTTTGTTGATCCCTCTGTTTAAGGCTTCAATTTGCTGGTGTGTAATGGTGTTTCTTTTAATAGTCGCACCATTGTTTTAACGGATCCAAGGTTGCTCTACGGAATGACTGCATGACATTGGATTACTTGCAACAAACGTGTTCATGCTGTTTGATTCTTACAAACAGAGGGGGTGGAAACTCCATCTTCTTGACTCTCAGGTATTTTATGATCGTGCTTGGCATTGTTGAGGTAGTTTTGTAAATTTTCGGTACAAATTATTATTGTTTAGTAGCATCACAGGTTCTATCGTGTGATTCATTGACAGAAATATCAAACCAAGAATTTGGAGGAATTAAACTTCACTTGCGCCGAAAAAGAAACTCTACATGAACTCGGATTTCAATGGAGATTTAGCAAGCAATATTCTCAAGAGAAGGATCATATCATCTTTGAGAAGAACATTCTTCGCAGTAACGCTAGGAATAGGGTTCCTCAGTCGCCCACTGATCGATCTGCGGAAGCCTTAATGACAAGGTCCCGCTTCTGACTACTAACTTCCATGTGCATATATCGATTCACCTGCTGCACTGGAGCCACGTACATCGGTCGCTCGACGCGCATCCTATCCTAGAGGATTCAAGAACACTATCCAGCATGGTTACGAAAAGGTGATAGTGGTGCTATAAGGAGTACGATAACTGAACACCTGGTTAACACTGATCATCCCATTTCAACAATCGCCTCCTCCTCCAAAGTAATCTACACAATCAAGAATAACCTACCAAACACAATACAGTTTCGTCTTCTTTGTATCGCTGGAGCTCTGGCCATTCACATAGAAAAACCAGAGCTGAGCATAGAAAAGAGAATTAATTACTCAACCACTTCTGCTATCATAGTAACAACTTTGTTGATTTTTGATGACTTGATTTTGTTTGTTTGCCTGTTTCTTTAATTGCTTATAATTCTTATATTCATTTAGAACTCTCATGTAATTTCGTTTTCTCCACTTTTTCCCGATGTATATCCTGAGTAAAACTCAATCATCAAACTATTCATACTATTACATAACTTCTTTTTAACAACTATTTGTGACAACTCATCACCTTTGTTACTACCCTAATTTCATTAACACTCAATTCACGCAACTCTACCCAAAACTTATTAATTCTCACCTGTTTAGCTAAAATATCCAAAACTAATTGTATTTTTGTTTGACAAACTTAATCTACACATACATACAAAATCACTCATATATATATTTGCGATTGTACAGCTGTGAAAATGAATTCGCCGTCGAAAAGAGACTCTTCGCTGAACTACGTGTTTTGTTTATTGCATTAATGTCTGGATGGGGATTATTCATGAATCAAGTAGTATTTTGACATTGTTGAGAAAATACACAGAAAAATTCAACAACTTGGGTATTTGAGTCATTACAGATTTATTTATTATTTATTTATTATATTCCTTTGCGTTCCGAGTGGAACATACGGCTTCAAGCATAAGCTTTGAAGTTGCGCTTTTTACGGCGTGGAGTTGCTGGCCTCACACCATATCTTCGCTTTTTATAGGGATTACAACCGGCTAGGGGAGGCAGATGTGTGCACTGACCAGGAAATCGAACCTCCGACCACATACAGAGTCTGTGAGCATACTATGGGTGTCAATTTTCGAGGTTGAATGCTTACAGTAGGATAACAATCGATAGAGTGTGGAGTGTGCGTCGGTGGCAC